CCATCTCTGCGCTAGGCAAGAAATTCCATATTTTATTTCTATCAGTCATTTAAATACTCAATCTCCCTAGAAAGGAGAAAACTGAGGCTCCAAGAGATAAAATCATTGGCTCAAATTGATGCAGCTAGTGAGGGTTAGAGCCTGAAGGCACCTGGGGGCGGATTCCCAGATAAGTTCTTTTCTACCTTGCCAGCTTGTTCGCTCCTATTCTCTGCCAGCAATGGTGGGAAGAGAGAGAATTATCACGGTATGTTGACTCAAGAGATTTGGGAAAGTAATGATGGATGAATTTATGAAGGGTGTTGATTTGGCAACAAAACTGTAGCCAAGCAGATTATCTGAAACCTCAGCCTAGAGACTGTGTCTGGGGATGGATGATGGGACCATACTGCTTAAGAGGAGTATTCAGTACCCTAAGAATACTGGGGAGCACCCAGGCTCCTCCTCTCTGAAGCTTGCTCCTCCATACCTCAATTGTGAGCCCATGGGTAAGGGATTAGCAGGGCTTCTTCCAAATTGTCTTGTGAATGCAACCACTGGCAACTTCGGTCCTCTTTTCTATAATTTCTACTTGACAAATAATATTCATTATGGGCTCAAGGTTTATCTCCTCCAGGAAACTGGCCCTGGCTAACCCCTCCGAGCTTGCTTTTCTAGTTTCCATTCTTTTGTTCTAGTGTCCATTGTATTATCATGGACTGCGAATTGTATATGCCAGACACAGCATTAGTTCATCATTAGTTAACTTAATATCCACAATACTCATTTATTCACCAAATATTTATTAAGCATCTATATTTCAAAAACTGCACTTCATTACAGGCATATAAGGGTTAGAAATTACAGATTTGTTCTCATGAGTTTACCAGGGGGTTAGAAGTTAACTAAATAACTATATATTATATATATATAATTATACATTAACCAAATAATTATATAATTATATATAATATATAACTGTATACATTATATAGGATATATAAGTATATACTAAATGCATTATATATATAGACACACACATATATAGTTGATCAATGCTTGGAAGGAAAGAAACAGCATCATGAAAGTATATAATAGGATTCTCAATTAGATTGAGGGTCTCAGGAAAGGCTGTATCAAGGAAGGGAATCTAAACTGAGATGTAGTGGGTGCATAATAATCAACTGGAACAGTAGTGCACGTGTGTGTGTTTGTGAGACAGTGGTGGTGGATGGACAGGAGAATGGGGGGACAGGAGCAGACTGCAGGAAAAAAAAATCCCTTGGCTGGTGCTAGTGTCATCCTTTTAGGGAAGGAGAGAAGGCCAACCGTGATGGAGCAGAGAGTGAGGACAGCCATGCAAGACAGAATAGAGAGGTCACCAAGGATGAGGTCCCCATAAATATTCTGATCTTTACCCAAAAGTGATGGGAGAACTTTGGAAAGTTTTAAGTAAAGATATGTGTATTTTAGTAGACGTAAAGCAGGCATGACATTTTATCTCCTTTTACAAGGGAAGAAACAGAGACTCCAATGACTTATGTATGAGACTTTTGTAGACTTCATGGGGGTCACACAACTAGTGAGTGGCTTGGCCAGGACTTAAACCAATGTTGAGAGATGATCACAATTTTTATTCTAAAATAAAATAAAATTCCATTCAGTGAATCCATGTTTATATGCTCTTTGTCTCTGTCTTATTTCTTACAACTGAAAGGGAAGTATTTGCTTTTGGAGCATGAATAGAACTGAGTGGAACTAACATTATTAAGCTCCTCCTCTGGACCAGATATTGTTATCTTATTTAATCATAGTCATCTTATAGGACCTTATATTTTCAAGACAACAAAGCAGAGGTTCAGAAAGTTACGTACTATACCCTAGTGTTAGAAAATAGAGAAGATGGGCTGTGAATCCATTCTATCTGACTCACAAGTTTAGTCAACCTCAGTACACTCTGCTGTCATATTAATGTCCCTTCTACTCTTGGAATGGATGGTAAGAGAGGAGTAGGGGAAAGGTTAGAAGCAGAGAGTAGGAGAGCTCTTGACAGTCCAGGGCAGAGCTGAAGGGGAAGGACACAGTAGATTTCAGGCCAAGAGGATCAGTAGGAGTTGAACACTGAAGTATGGTTTGGTGACTGCCTCGACGCATGGGCATATGGCAACATCACTGAACCTAAGGAGCAGGTTTGTGGGAGCTACTGGATGCCATCCACTCCTAGTGTAGCAGGTAGGGATGTGACTTCGGAGGTCTGCCCTGGGGTCTGGACTATTGGCTGCTGCCAGAAAAAGCTTCCCTTATTGAGCATATATGTAACAAGTGCAATGATTCATCTGCTCTCTTCTATGGCTGTTGGCTTTGCCTATTGGCCTTATTTGTCCTCAAGTTCATCCTCCTGGCATTGCCTGTACCTAGACCACCTCTGTTCTCTTTCCAGAGGACAATACCCAGCGTGTTCCCCTGGATCAGAATGTAGCTGGATAAGAAAAGCTTTTTTAAAAGGATTTTTTTCCTTCCTCATGGTTTAAGGAGAAAAAGATAATTCACAAAGGCCTAGTTCATTCAAGGAATTATACCAAATCCCAAAAGCATTGCCTTACACATTCTAAATCAAGCGCCTGGCTTTTAAAATGGGAACCTACACTCTCTGGGAAAAAAAAAAAAGTAAGGATGATTTATCGCTCTAATCTTGCAGTGTATGTAATGCAGGCATTTCATTCCTGGGAATGAATAGTGCTGTTTGCCTCGAAGCAGACTGTAAACGGTTGATTCGTGACCAGACAACTGGATTTTTAATGGCCTGCGACCAACTAAAATAAGCACAAAAGTTACACCACGACCAGGCAGCTAGAGCTCATTCCTCACTCCCCCAATAATATCCTCGATTTCTCTGGAATTGTTTTCTTTTCACTTGATGACTTTAGAATAATCTTCTAATAAATAAACTCTGGGACTTGGACAAAAGGAAGTTGTTAAATTCTTGGTGTCTCACAACAATATCAAGAAGGACCCAATACACTGTATTTGTCGCAAAGTAAACGTGTCATCTCTATCCTCAGCAGCAGACAGTAATTGTGACCCATCAGTGGAAGTTAAGGCACGGCACCAGCAATGAATCTTAGGCAGGCTCTGAGCTGTGGGACCTGTTATATCTCTGCTAGACAAGGGCTCCCCTTGATTTCCCTCTCCCCTCCTGCACCAATGCCAGGCTGTTAGGACTGTTTACAGCCCCAGCCAGTGACGCCAGCATGGTGAGTCTTTCTCAGTGGTGGAGAACCTGTGGATACACGAGAGTTTAACTGTCTGAGCAAATTCCAGGAGCCAGGATCTGGGCCCTGAGCTTGGCCCTGGAACAGCCCAAGAAACACTTGGAAGCCAAGGGCAGATGAACCTGAGACAAAGCTGAGCTTGGGAGTGAGCCAGCGGGCTGCCAGATGCTGGCAGGAGACACATTAGGTGTGGGGTCTTGCTGGCTGTTGCCCCATGGGGAGCAACTGAAGTGCTGAGCTTGACCCCAAGGCACAGAACCTGGGTGATGGAGTCTAACGGGGGCCTTCTGGTAGTGCTCTCCTTTTAAAGGGCATTGAGGAAAGTGGAAGAAGGGAAAGCTGATTTCACTCAGGGAACCACACTCAGACTGTGCAAGAGGGACCCGACCTGGGAAGTGGCATTGCTTGAAGGTGTGGAGAAGCCCAAGACACTGCAGAGTGGAGACACAAGCCCGCCTGGCAGCAGAGTGCAGGGAATGACGGGCGGCTGGCAGTGTGGCCACATGACATTCAGACAAGTGGAGCCTGGACCCAGAGGGGCTGCCTTCCTCAGGCTCTGACATTCAGCAGTCTTCAGTGAGGCTCTAGCCTCCCATGCTCTTCAGTACAAGAAAGAATCAAGCTCTTAGGACCCTCAGACTGGAAAAGCAGCTCTCTGTCCTACTCTAGGACTGGAAAATTCCAAATTCTTTCCCTGAGATCACTGTGTTGAGGCCAGGAGAGAAGTGAAGCCTGTTCTGTGAGCTAGGCCAGTGAACACCACATTATAAAAACTATAGTAACAACCAGTTACTGAGTGTTTACAACAACAAGGCACTGCAGCATATGCTTTATGGAGATTCTTCTTCCATTCTCAGATGTGCAAGAGCTTAATTGTCTCAACAAATCTAAGGAGTTTGAAACATCTCTTAAGGGGAGGAGATCATTATTATTCTTTTATGAGTAAGGAAATCAGAGGCATGAGATGTTTATCAATTGCTCAAGGTCACTCAGTAAGGAGGATGTAAACATAGGACTGACTTTAGCTCAGCTGCCCCCCAAAATGAGGACCCTTAAACTGGTCAAGGAAAGCTGCAGATTTCATGAGGAGCCAAGCTCACCTTACCCTACCCAGTGTTTCAGTTACCAGGAAGGGGACGGTTCCTGAAGCCATCAGGGAGTGAACAGGGGGTTGCCAGCTTCTGGCAATATAAATGAATGGCTTTAGTTTGATTCTTCTGTCAATGTTAATTTGGGGACTAAATACAGTTTTTATTTGCTGTTAGGCTCCACAGTATGCCAGTTGCATTTGAGGCTCAACCTTTGTGAAAAATCCCCTTAGAGTTCTGTTGAGGATGGACTAAAGCCCGTCATTACTTCCTCAAGTGTGGTGCCAGGATCAGGGGCATCAGCACCGCCTGACAGTCTGATAGAAATGCAAATTCTCCAAGCCCTCCCCAGACTTGCTGAATCAGAACTTCCAGGGACAGGGCCCAGCCCTCTGTGTGTTAACCAGCTCTTCAGGCTGCTGGATGAACACTGAAGCTCTAGATCACTGCTCTAAAACATTGAGAAGTGACACAAATGATTTATTTTGAACCAAATCTTTTCTTTAAACATTGAAATAAATCTTTTCTTTAAAAAATGATTGTAGGTATCTCAGTGGTGGTGTGGTGTCCTATTATGGGGTGGGGGTGGGTCCTATTCCTCTAAATCATATCGAGTGTTGTAAACCAATGTTACCTCTGTTTAAAAAAATAAATAGTTTACCTCATTTCCAAATCTTCATTCTCTTGTGGTACAAATTTGTACAAGGCAACATAGGTGTTCATTTGTAATGGGTCTTTGGAAAGAGATCCCTGAAAGAGAAATACAGAAAAAAATGAAGAAAGAAAGAAGAAGAAATAGAATAAAGGAGATAGGACACGGAGAAGTCAATGCCATGTAATTCCAGTGGATATTCTCTGTATGGATCTTACATGTTAAAGTGTCTCACTATTATTAAAGATTTTGCTTCAACCATCGACTTATATTTAATTTCTTAGCTTAGTGTATTTCATTACAAACCACTTGAGAATTATGGGAGAAACTGTAAGAAATACTACAATTTTCTTCAAGTGCTTTTTTTCTTTGATATAGTTGTTCATGAAAGCTGACACAGCCTTGGTCCCAGGAGTAGGAATGTTCTCTCTCTAGAGAACTTCCATTTCCCAAAATTTACTTTTTATCAGTTAGCCTAAAATTTGGTAACGTAAATCAAAGGTACCAGGTAGATTCATCTGGCAATTAGTTCATTCTCGTTGTGGAAAAAGTGTAGATTTGACATCAGATTGATATGGTTTCTGTCATAGCAACAGCTTCTACTGGCTATGAAACCTTGCAATCATGATGATAGCAGTATCCTTTTTGGTAGATTACTGTGTGCTGGGCATTATTTTACAGGCACTGACTGATAAACTTGAAACTCACAGCAGTCCTGTGAAGTAGATTCTATTGTTGTCCCAAATATATAGACACTATAGGAGTCTTACAAGCGTTATATAAATATTAGCTACTATTATTAACCAAATAAATGGTAATGCTTTATAAATATGTTTGCTTTATAATATATAATAAATTAAAATATATAAAACATACATATAACTGCACGATAAATGCAATTATGTGTATATATTAAATATAAATAGAATCCAATTACTTATAATATACAACTATATAATACAATTATACATTTAGATATAATAGTATACAATTAGATAATATAAGACATAAATACATGCTATGCATAGAAAACAATAAAAGTTGTACAGAACCGTATCCCTTATACCAATGACTCATTCTGCTATTCCAAACTTAAGTAGCTTATTGTATATATTAGTTGATTCTATATTCTAATTATATATAAATTCATACAAAAATTTAAAACTTTTACAATATGAAAAACAGTCATAATATAATTTAAAATTATATTTTACACATTATAGAATGTATGGAGCATACATTAAGGAACCAAAAGTGTACAACACAAAACTCACCCCCTTCTTTGATGCACTATATTTGTTTTACTACCCATGCTATGGTACCCTATGCTACTTCATTCTATTCTCTAAAACTAAATGGATTTCATGACCCACTTGGGTGGTGACCTGCAGTAGGACCCAAGAACCCCATCTGGTCTGTCTTCTGGGACATCCAAAAATACCTGGTGATTTATGTTCTTTGCTTGGTCTCTGAAGTCGTCTGTTCCATTTTCTGGATACGTAAACACTGGAGGAGACAAGAGAAAGCAGGGGGTTTATAAATGCAGTCACCACGTTCCAGAAACAAGCTTGATAGTGGTGTTGTTGTAGAGCAACCCTGATACAAAACGGGGTGCCTGACTGTGGGTCCTCACCCGCACGCTTAAAAGGACTTATCAATGCTCTACTGTAGGCACATGAGAAAGGTTAATAAAAGGTTTATTTACAAGGAAAGGGAAAATGAAAAAATGTACAGCTCAGGAAAAAAAAGTGGGAGACAAAGTTTTAAATAAGTCCTACCCGATCCGCCGATTTGGAATCCCAAATGGCACTCTGAGAGCTGACTGCAAGCCAGGAACCGTAAAGCCAGGAGGCGAGCAATAGCGAGCCACCCCAAGGCCCACGTGTTTGGTTTTTATATACAACCTGGCTGCCCAACTCCACCCTCAGGTCCCAGCCACCTTCCCTTTGGTGGTAACAGGATTTGTCTTTTCCAATGTCTTGATGGCTTTAGTCTGAAGTGGGGGTGGGGTCCACACAGCCTGTCTGGAATTAGCTCAGGACATCATTTCCCCCTAACAGTGGCTCCCTGTACTACAGCTTCTTTCTACTTCTCACTGCCATTTCCTCATCTTTAGTGACCCACTTTCACATCGTCTACCACGAAGCTTCCCCTGCCTCCCCATACAGCATTCTGCTCCACCTTCTCTGCACCCACACCCCTGCACCTGCTCCAGACCAGTACTCAACCTCTCACATTCCCGGTGATTGTATGCTCAAGCTCAGTCTCATTGGCTGTGATCTTCCCAGGAGCAGAAACCATCTCTCGTCTTGAATTTTATCAAATCATTTGTGAATGGGGTGGTGGGTGAGGCATGGCCCAGCTTAATTGTATTGATTAAAATACCTTTTCTCTATACCAGATTTATCTGTATTCAATGTATTGATTCTAGTCTCCTAATGACATTTATATTCTATTTTTCAGATTAACACTTGGGGTTTCAACTTGCAAATATTTTCTTGAGCTCATTATCAGTGCAAAGGGGCTATTATTCAGAATAAAAAAATAAAAGAGTGGTTTCTCATTTAGTTCCTTCTTGGAATGTATAATTTTTTTCTTTTGCGTTTAAGCAGCTACAGTGTGGTTTTTGATAAAGAACAAGGCTTCTTCAAATGGGCAGTCCACATACACAGCTCTGGGAGGTCCCTGATAGGTGTGGGGGTGCTGCCTTAGCTAGTTCAGTCAGTTAACTCTGCCTTGGTGACCAGCATCACGGTTTTATTCTTATCATGGGTATCTTCCTTAAACAAAAAAATGTGGCAAATCCAAGCTTATATAATAGGGTTGTGATATCTCAATTAACCTACTATTCAGATGTCTTGACATTCAAAAATAACACATTGCTGCTTTATTCTACACTTTGGTCTCCTTTCAGATTATTAAGGAAATATCAGTAGAGGAAGAAAAGCACATTATGAAAAATTCTATAACCTGTTTTAGTTAGTGCTTTGACAATTTCCACTGTCCTTAAAAATGGACTGAATAATGGTGATGTTGAAAACACACTGTGAGTAAGAGCTCCTGTAAATGGACCGCTGCTTAGGAAACATCTAAGCACAGTTTGCAGTTCCAAATCCTGTGGATGCAATTTCATCACCCCAGGGAAGACAACATGCACTCATCACAAGAGCTCCTGTTTGTGGTTAAGTGGAAAATGAAGGTCCTATTCTACGGACCTTATCTGTCTCAATGTTTGACCACTCCACTTACCAGCTTAAAGAGAATAGAGACCAGCAATACTTTTCTCTGGCATTATGTGATTATTTGAAATCCTGGCTGTAAACACTTGATTCTTTAAGTATGAAACTGGATACTTCTAACAGAATATTAAAAAAAAACATATAAAGAGTATCTATCTTCCTAGAAAATTCTTGACTGAATTGAATAAAAAAGGGGGACTACATCCAGTGCATGTGCATATGCAATGTTCAGTTTGAATTGATTTTACAATTTTGTCATTTCATATTATTTTAGCTTTTTATTGAACATCCTTTAGCCATCTGGTTTGAAATGTACACCACTTTTGTGAATGATGCTGAACATTATTTGAAGTGACCCCAGCTATATGGTTGAAAGAACTGGAATAGTGCAAAAAATGATTAAAAAGTCCATTTCACTGGCTATTTCTAAGACTTTGATTGGTGAGGAAAGGCATCAAGAAAGATAACTATTTTACCAAAAATACATCATATCTTTTATGTTCGGTGTTTAACCTCTTTACCAAACACAATCTGTTACTTATTTTGCCCATGATAAGTATTCAAAGAATATGTCCATTATGTAGCCACTATTTTTCTAAAGTTACAGATGCAAAGGGAATCCTTAGTTTTTACCACATCTCCAAAGAACTTTCATCTTCTCCTTTTCCATAGTCTGTCTTTTCTTTTGTACTTTGCAGTCCGGTGAGGTCCATGAGGTGAGGTCCACTATTGTGTTTTTTAAAGAGATGATTATTTGGTTTTTCCCCTTTAACCTGGTAATGCAGCAAGCTACATTGCTAGCTTAACACTGACATAAATTTGCATCACTGGAATAAATGCAGTTCAGTGATTATGCATTAGTTTAAAAAATACACTACTGGATTCCATTTACTAAGATTTTGTTTGCAATTTCTACATCCATTTTCAGGATGGAGACTAGCCAGCATATTTTTCCTTTTTTTGTGCTGTGCTTGTTTGGTTTTGAGATCAGTATTATACCAGCCTCATTAATTAAGTTAGAGAATGCTGCTGCTCTTCCTTCTTGTCACTTTTTGTTTTCCTGAAAGAGCTTATATAATCTGGAAACTTTCTTATCCTATTCCTTCAGAAAATCGAAGATAATGATCTTCTGTTATTTGGCTCCTACTGTAACTTATTAAATGTGTCCTCAGTCTATTTTCATTTCTTTATAGGTAATCTGTCAGTCTACATGTAATGTATTGGAAATTTTGAAGTTTTGCTAAGATGAGGATTCAGCTTGAGGATTAGTGTCTTTAATCAACTGAAAAATTCTTAATATCCTTTTGAATAGTTTCTTATCATGTACTTCTTTTTTTTTTTTTTTTTAAAGATTTATTTATTTATTTATTTATACAAGCACTGGGTACAGTCAGAAGTGAGGGAGGGTGAGAGAATTCACCAGAGCCAGAGCGGGGAGCAGAGCAGGCAGAAGGACCGAAGTACACCGCTGAGGGGAGCAGCGGGCGGCAGGAGAGGTCTGCGCGCCATGTGGGACCCTCCTCCGGTGGCCGGGGAGCAGCTGGGGATTGAACCGGCGCTGCAGAGGCTGCGGGCAGCTTCGCAACCCAGCGCTCAACCGCTGCGCCACTGGGGAGACCCCTATCATGTACTTCTTTATGTGCTTCTGAAATGTCAGTTAGCTATACCTTGAACTCTCATTTAATTTTTGTGTCTTTTTACTATCATGAGCCTCCTTGCTTTTTCTTCTTGCAATTTCTTTGGCTGTATATTTCAGGGTACTAATTCTTTCTTCAACTATATCTAATAGGCTATTAAATCTACCAATCAAATTACTTTTTTAAATTCTGGAAGTTCTATTTGGATTTTATTAACAAATCCCCTGTTCCATTTTGATAGTCTCTTGTTCTTTTGTTATATTTTATGTCCTTAAAAAAAAACTTTAATATATACATATACAACTTTATAGTTTTTTTTTTGGGGGGGGGGACCCTCGCCGGCAACTGGGGAACGAACTGACACTGCAGAGGCTGCAGGCAGCCTCGCAGCCCAGCGCTCAACCGCTGTGCCACCAGGGGAGGCCCCACAAGTTTATAGTTTTTATTTGATAATTCCAACATATACAGTCTCTGAGAGTCTGATTATAAAAGCAATTATTTCAACTAACTCATGCATGGTGGCTCATTTTCTTAGGTGTTTGCTGAATTTTAATTCTCAGCTCAGGTTCTTTGAAAGTCATTTGTGGAAATTCTTGAGGTCTGAGTTTAAATTATCTTCCTCCAGAGAGGGTTTGCATTTGCTTCTGCCCAATGCCTGGTGATTTTATCACATCTGGGCCCACTATAAAATAAATTAAACTAAAATTTCAGATTATTTTACTTTGTCCATATAGGTAGTAGGAATTTAGACCCTAAACCCAAGTAAGATGACTTTCCTCCCACTTACTCCCATGTCTATCTTTTCCTCACCTGAGTTAAGGCCAGATAGCATTTTCCTTTACTAAATTCTTCTGCAGGATTTTCTTTTTTCCTAGTGCCAGTAAGGATGCGTTTGGGGTATCCGCATTTTCCTAAAGGGTTTCTAATGTAACCTCTGACCCTGCCCAGTCCCCAGGTTTTGTCCTCTATTGTCTATGAATGGGGCCTATTATTCTCCACTCCCAAGGCTCAGGGAGATGCAGAGTAAGATTGGTGCCTCTGGATTCATGTCTCATGGTCATTTCTAGACTCTAAGGAATCGCTTTAAATTGTTGCCAGTTCAACCATGCATTAAGTAGAGATTTCTTTTTAATTCTTTTTTCTAGTAGATTTAGGAGTGTAAACTGGGAAAAATTTCTCTAAACCTCCACAACCCTCCATATAGCTGGAAAGAGAATCTTCTGTGCTTTCAAAGAGAATTTTACCTGTCTAGAAACTAAGTGGGTATTGCAGAACCACATTATCAATATTTACTTTTGCAATTTGGGAATTGTCCACTGGAGGGGGACCCGAACCAAGGGCATCTGCCAAAAGAGCCATTAAAATATTTTTTTTTTTCCTTTTTTGGGTGACAACTTAAAATTTAATATTATAGATTCAGAACCAGAGCATGTTAAATTGTCCAAGTCTGAGACTGTTTTTCTTTCTCAGAGAGTTTCATTGTTTTGATGCAAAGTCAGATAATATTGGGCCTTGTCTTATCCTCAAGTGTTTTAACCACTTAACCCAGTTGTTTTTGAAGAATATTTCTAAGAAGTTGTCTTGCTGATGTCCTATTCTCTTTGCTTCTCTTCTAGGAAAGTTGTAATTACATACACTCATATTATAATACAATTATTGAAAGTCACCAGTAATCTCTTTAGTTGACCTTTTGAGTTGAAATTAGTAGCCTAGGTTTTACTTCACCCTTTATTCATTACTTTCCTTCAAGTGATGTTTCTAGCAGTTAAGCCAAAGATGAAGACCAAAACGTCTGTCCCTTAATAGTTCTGATTCTTTCAGGAGCAGTGTTGAAACAACAGCCAGCAACACTCAGATCTACCGAAGCTCTTTTATAAGAGAGAAAGCAGAGATTCACTCGAAAGAGTACAAAAATAAGTATGAATTCTACCTTCCTCTAAGGTGACCTTGAAAATATTCCTCAAGGAATGTGACATAACATCTGGCTGGTAAAGACAATACCTCTGTGCACTGTGTAGGTTTTAGAACATGAATGAAACACGCGACACACAGTTGGCTGGGGCTGGAAGCCCAGACACTGCTTCTGAAAAGCCAGCGGCCTCCTTGCCATGGCTGTGAGGAGACCATGGACAGCTTGGACCACATTAGCAAGGGCTTTGTTTTCTCTATACTGTTTCTCAAAGTGCATGGACAAGGGACGAAATCCTGTCAGAGGAAAATGTTTTGAAGCAAAGTGCTGCATAATTAATCCTCCCAGCTTCTAAGGGTACATTGTAAAGAAAGCTATTGCTGATGAAAGGAATAGTTAATAGATCTCCAAAGCTCTTTAGAGGTTTATTGCTTGCTAACTTCTTTCAACTAATTTCTTTGACTAAGGCTGTGAAAATGCCCTTTAGCATGCAAGAGCCAGCAAATAATCAACTGTGTGTCTTTGAGTGTATTACTTTGTGCCCTAGTTTCCTTCCTTCTTTAGGCTATGTTGAGTGTGTGTATATGTACTGTGAAGGGTCAGGGTTGGGCTAAATGACCTCTAATCCTGCATCTCAAACTTTAACAAGCATATGATTCACAGATTTATATTCAAATTCTTACTCTGCAGATCTGAGGCAGCCTGAGATTCTACATTTCTAAAAGCTCTCAAGGGATGCCCACGTTGCTGGCCGTGAGCCACATCTGGAGTAGGGAGGCTGTTTGCTACAACTCTGAAACGTTATGACCTTAGGATGATTTTATTAATATAACCAAGCATTATAGTGATGAACCCTAAATATTGCTACTCACAATATAAAGTCCTAAGGGCACTTTTTGATAAAGAAATCTCCAATAGACACCTTAGCCACTAAAGACTGGGTGAGCAGTGGCATCAATAAAGCTAGAGCGGGGTGGCTGAGGCAAAGAGGCAAGCAGTGGGCATGATTTTGGAGAACAGTAGATGAGACTTGCTGATAATTGGGTATGAGGTGTGAGAAGGAGGCTGATGGCAAAAGTTTTGGCTTGATCAGCTAGTAGAATGAATTCCTGTTTACTGAGCAGGGACAACTGGGAAGGAGCTGGTTTGGGTTGTTGGGGTGGGTGGGAGTGAGGGCAAGAGACAAGCATGCTGACATGAAGATGCCCTTTACATGTTCAGATGACCATGTCCTGTAGGCTGTAGGTGTCTGGAGGTAGCAAGGAGCCTAATGCTGGAAATGAAGTTTCAGAGTATAGTGAATGGATAGTGTTTAATTCATTACATTTATTCTCTTGTTTAAAGATTATGGCATGTTGGTATTTTATTATCTTCATTTCAGGGACAAAGCAATTGGGCAGAAAGAGGCTAGCTCACTGCTTCAAGGTCATATGATCGCCAATGGACATCCGGCTCTCTGTCTCCAGAGAAAGGAGGGGCCAAGGACAAGATGTGTCCAGTGAAGTTAGTGATAATGAGGCTACCAGAAATGGTGGTGTAAAGTGTCAAGAGAAGGATGCAGGCAGGAGTCAGACTGAGGGACACAGCGGCTACCCAGACTTGAAGTATTAAAGGTTTGGTTTATATACCTGTCTCTGGAGAGTTCATTCCTCAGATGCTGAAGAACTCTAGGGTTGGGACCAAAATCACTTGCCAGACATGCAAGGCTGGAGGTGTGGGCTGGGCCGGCTGCATTACTGCTGCACAGCGAGGCCCCCTAGCTGCTCTCTGGCTGCTCTCTGGACGGGCACTGCATTGCAGAGTGGCCCGTGAATGCTCGTGTTCATCTAAATGCCCAGCTTTCCATGTGAGGCTGAAGAGTCTACCTTGGCCGCACACTTTAGCAGATATGTGAGGGCTTGTCAAGGGGGGCTCTGCTGAGGTTTCTGTAGGAAGCAGAGTCACGGGGGAGGCTGACACACGCTGCCTGGTGGGATGCACAGACGCAGGGTGCAGCCCTACCTTGAGAAGAGACATAAATGAATTCCTGGAGCGAAGGGGGGAAGGAAGCTACACTTCATGAGACAGCTGTCGACAAGCAGCTACGGGGTATTGAATGCAGAACTTCTGCTTCCATTCTGGGAAAGGCAGGGACAAGTTGTCAAGTGGAAAATCTATATGAGGCGGCATCTCCCGGAGCTTCACGTCAGAACCCGCAGGGGTAACTTCTAGCTTGAGGATTCATTCCGCCCAAAAGAATGACACAGTCACAGATGATGAGTGACCTCAGGACAGTTTTATGACCTTTGTACTTTTGCTGTTGATAGTGGATGCTTCCTAGGTATTTTTTGAATAAACTAGTGTTGATTAAGTACTTGTTGACATCCAAGAGGCTTGGCAATGGGGCATCTCCTATAAGGGGCTGGTTATGTTTTCTTAAGGTCTAGGTTAAAAGGCAATTCTTTCCTAAAGTTAGCCAGAAGCAGCATGTAGTTAGCATTTGACGGATATCTTAGAAATGACTGTAATGAGGGATAAAGGTGTTAGAAAATTGTATCAGTAAAAAATGTTTGGCGAGGTTGTGCATAGCACTTTTTGAGCCTCAGTTATTGTTGCCCAGGAAGGAGCCACACCCTTCCCTGGCATCACCACCTCCCTGGTTTCAGAGGTAACCTGGAGTAGCTTCTCTGTGGTACGGTTTGCTAATCTAATGTAGTTTGTTGTTGTTGCTGGTGGTGGTGGTGGTGTGTGTGTGTGTGTGTGTTGGGGGTGTGTGTGATGCATTAACAGAAAGGTCTGGAGGGCCTCCCCTGGTGGCACAGCGGTTGAGAGCTGGGCTGCGAAGCTGCCTGCAGCCTCTGCAGCACTGGTTCGATCCCCGGCCACTGGTGAGGGTCCCACATGGCGCGACAGACCTCTCCTGCCGCACCCCCTACTCCCCTCAGCAGTGTATTTCATCAGTCTGCCTGTTCTGTTCTCTGCTCTGGCTTTGGTGAATTCTCTCACCCTCCAGCGCTTCTTACTGTACCCAGTGCTTGCTTAAATAAATAAATAAATCTTTAAAACAAACAAACAAACAAAAACCAGGAAGGCCTGGAAGTGACTCCTCACAGACCCCAATATAGGTGAGTCTGTAAGGTATGAGAACTCAGGGAATGTTACATGTGAATCATTTAAGCCCAGTCCTGATGCCCAGTTTTCCTCCAGAATGTTGAGCACATGGCCAGACTGAATTCCAGAGCTGGCAGAGAAAGAGAGGAGCTGCAGATGACCTTCCCTGCCTGCTCACCGGGATGGCCAGTGACCAGTGTGGTTTGCATTTGTGCCGGGCAATGCACGCTTTCCCGCTCCCTCACTTACCGCTGTTGCTGCGTTTCCGTAGGTCGTACCCGCCTCCCGGCCCATCTGTTTCTTCAGGAACCTCCACCAGATCTGACGTCTTAGAGAAAAGAGAGGACAGCGTGGGGTGAGCAGTGTCCTTTCAGGGGAGCAACTGAAGGGAGATTTTGATGTCAGCAGAACTGAGGTGGCATTGCATGGCACTGTCTGAAGAATCCAGTCATTTCTGACTGGTCTGTTTGGCTAACTTCAGAGAAGCAGTCTGTTCCCTCTGGGGCACCGCCCCCCCCCCGCCCCCCAGGAGTCTGTGGAGGCTCGGGACTTGGAACAGGACAGATGCTCAGTGAGTGTTGAATGCATGCCTAGATGCACAGCTCCCAGGGAGGCTTCTTTCCAGAAGAAACATCAGACAGCAATCAGAATTCCTGCCTAGTCCCCTAACATTTTCAGTAAAATGGCAGCTCTTTCTATAGGCGAGTTTTAAATATGAACCACAGAACAAGATGCGCTGCTGAGAGATGTGTGACTTGAACACTGTTCCTGTTGCTACAAACATCAGTTGTCTTTGTTATGCTTATTCTGACTTAAAATTTTAGCTAAGAGAGTCACAGCCAGGTTAGAGCAATAATAACCACTCTCCAAGCAGCTTGCCTTTCTCCTTCACAACAATCTGAAGTCCAGAGAGAACAGTGACTCTACTCTAGGTCCCACCGTGGGTGGTAGAGCTGGGGTCCCCTCCCAGATGCTGTCTCATGCTTGGCAGCACTGTGCTGCTTTTAGGGGTGTGCTGGGGGCTCACAGGGGCAGTGAGGGCCTCTGAGCATCACATGGGCAGCTGGAGAGTGCCCCAGGTGGGAATATTGACACCACCAAAATCAGGGTTCAGCCCCAGCTGGTGGTTAAACATTTACCAGTTCACCATTGATTTCAAAAAGCCTCTTTCACAGGACCAGATGCTTCTATCTGTCTGGTTCCAGTCTCTGGAATTTGGGGGCCCTCTGGGGAAAGTCACATTTTTCAAACAATTAATTTATATCTTATCCGAGAGGAACAGATTAGCTTTCTTGAATCTCCTAGTCAGTTCCAGGGCACCTTAGCACCATCCTCCAGGGACTGATTTTAGTTACAAACAATTTAAGCTTTAAGATGTTTTTCAGTTTTTCTTATTTTCAGGGCAGATCAGAAAGAAAAAAAAAAGTCTCTAAGTAATTCATAGCCTGCTTCTTTCAAGCTTGCTCTTTCTGAACAAAAGTTGCTATTACTATGTTAATTTAATTTTATGAAATTGAAGAATATTCATAAACTAGCCAACCAACTCCCAGAAAGATTTTTTGAATTTGGATCCACTGACCTCCCCAAAGCAAGTCTTCCATGTTCTAGAACAGCTAAAAGCACATTAAAGGAGACAAAATGATTTGGAAGTAGTGCAGCCACTTTCTGGCATTGTAAAGCAAATGTGTCTGCAGCCCTGAAAGAAAATAAACCTGTAGGACAGAGCTTTGCTGAGGGGAGAGGTGGTAGCTTTCATTTTAGGACATAACGATACTGAAAGAATGGCACACAGCTAGAGTTCATTACCCCTTGACCCTACAGGAAGGAAGCAAAATCATGTTCAAACATGAATTGTTTCTATTTTCCTCAAGTTGGACTCTAGGGAAAGAGTGAAGTGACAGATACTTAAGTGCAATTTGATTTGCCTTTGTCTTCCTGCAACTCTCAGAACAACATCTTTAGAGAGCAAAATTGTAAGAAGAGTCCAAGAAATACTGATGGACCAGTGTCAGTGTTAGGATGCATAGAATGTGCACACCTTCTTGACAACAAAACAATGCTTTTTTAGCCCTGAAAGCAGTCTGTAGGGTTCCAACTTTGCTAGAAGCAAAGCTGCTTTAGACATGAAGACAAATGGGGCATCCTTAATTTGTCTTGCTGCTTCTTTGCATCAGTCAAAATTGTGGAGGCCAAAACATTCATTGCGTACAGTGGAAGATTTCTGAATGTCTCCTGTCGTGAGTTCAGGGAGCTCAGTAAGAGCTCAGTAACTGAGGAGCAGCGATTGAGTGAGATATAGACAGGTCAGAGCCACCTCCCAGGAGCCTCCTCTTTGCTCTTGCCTCTCTGAGCTAACTTCCACCTGCCCTTCCACCAATGCTGGTCTTAGACAGGCACATGAGATGCTTGTGCTGGTGTAGAATGAAGATCTCTTGGCTCTCACCAGAGACGTGAGAAATGTCCATTCAGTATACAGGTCAAGGATGACAAAGGTCACTCTGTATTTGTGTTTTTCTTTTGGATTTCTGGGTGCCATCCACAAAAAGCCTTGCCTGTCTGTGGGGATGGCTGCAGGCTTTGGGAGAAGCAATTCTGGAGAAAGCACCAATGGCCATCCTCACTCTCTGGAGGAAGGAGATGTAACTGGGTATGTGGGAATAGGAACACGGTTAGCATTCTTGAATCTGTGTTCTGAAGCTCAGGACTAGCCTGGAGGTATTGTTAAGAGCAGACTCAAAAGGAAATGGGTAACACTATCATTCCTTTATAATCTGGGTGAGAGAGAGGAAGGGTACTATTGATACATTCTGGGTTCTGAATTAAAGGACCTCATCACCAGTGAAGTTTAGTTTGCATACTTTGATTTTGCGCTGTCTACTGGTCTTCTAGAGGTTAGGACTGGATATATCAAGAGAGTTATCAGCTTAGAGATGAGACGGTGCTTTAACAAGAGGAATGTGGTAGAGGTAACCAGGGAGAGAATGGAGAACAAGAAGACAAAGCCAAAGCAGAGCCTTGGGAACACCCCAGCTTAGGGAGGGATGTGGAGTACACATCAGGGCAACAGGTTGACATAACGGAATGAAACTCTTAAGTGAGTAGGGGGTTTCCTGCAGAGCCTGTAAGACTCAGCCCCTGAGAGAGGGCCTTGGTTAAGGGTGGCTCTGGGAAATGCATGGCTCAGATAACACAATTGCCTGCCTAATGGCCTGCACCTTTGTTTAACTTCATAACAGCTGGAGTTCAAAGAAACCCATTTAAGGCCAAGATGTTTAATGAAAATATGACACTGATGACTTTCATTTCCTGATTATACTATTATACTCTCCAGTCCATACAGCCATAATGTATTTGCATATGCTATAAATCCTATCCACGTGCACTTTGCATTTTCATCACAATTAGTAGCATTTCTATCCTTTTCAGTAAATGAATTAATGTTATCACTGGAACAGACCATCTGAGCTGTACCCTCCTTAGGGAGTTTATCAGGAGCAGGTATCAAATATCACAAATGACACCCTCATTGCTGTGAAGCAATGTCTACAAAAGCCAAATATTTTCAATCCTGTGAAGCCTTCAGCACTCATATGACACAGCTATTATAATACCCTTAATACATATATATGTTCTTAATATAAATAGCATATGCAATATAAAAGTGTATTCTTTACAAAAATGCTGAACAGTGCCACCATCAGTATCTTTATTCTCCATGGGCTTGGCCTTGAGAAATAAGTTGTATATTCTAAGAAAAAGGAGGCAAGTCTTCTGTGTCTCCCACAGTGTTAGTAAACTGTAGGCACTTAATTCATGTCTGTTAACTGAAAAGAGAAAGAACTAACAGACATCAAATTTTTGCTCAGCAAGGAAAAAGAATATAAAATTAACTTTCATTTCTTTGCTCTTAGAAATTAGTGGGACACATGAAGAAGAGGACTTGCTGTGAATTTAAAGATGGCTTCTGGGATAACCATGTGGCAATAATCAGAAGACCCATGAGCCTACCTACTCACCTATGTGGCCTAAGCACTTACCCACAGACTCCCGTCACATTTATCTCATGCACTCACGCATAAGCAGTGAAGGAGCTGCTGGAGCTCAGCCCCTGAGGGCTCCTCCCAGGGGTATGCCCCATTCTTTTCACCCACAATCTACCCAAATCATTTGATGTTGAGAGCACTCAGTAGGGAAGACCATTTGGATGCTCATCTGTGACTTGTTTAGAAGTTCCCAGTCCAGCAAAAGCTGTGGCAGTACCTAGTAACGGGGTGCCAGCTACCACAATGGGCAACATCAACTGTAAAGTCCTCATCTGTTTGCAGGAGGGAGGGTGGTCTTCAGCATGAGCTACAGAGTTGTGTGGATCTAGGGGCATTCATAGAAATTCTGGTTAGGTCAGCGTGAGACAGATGGGGGTAGAAGGTTAGAGATGCATAAAACAGTCATATTTAATCAGGTACGACATAGGAGAGGTGCTTGGGAGGCTGAGTGTCCATGGAGAGAGGCCCAAGTCTCAGCTCAAGTGCCTCTGGGAAGGGGAGTTTTTCTGTGAATCCAAAGAGGTGTACCTTGTCTTAGAAAGGGTTGGGAAAATGTGAGAATGAACTGTACTCTTGAAATGGGATGTAGCTGGAGGGAGAACTGGACGCAGCTGGGTCTTCCCTGCTGCGAGAACCTTCTCTGTGTTGACTGACTGATATTTTTGTGGGATCTTGGTGGGAAGACAAGGGACGGAGCATATGGGGGAGAGTCAAGGAGCAGGAGACCAACAGCACAAACTCTGAGGAGGGAAGGAAGTAGTCCCTGGGTGGCAACAGAAAGTTAAGCTTTATAGGCCCAAAGAGTTGGGTTTTCCCCATGTGAGCTCCTTTCTCATGATCGGGGAGCCCTTCAAACTCCTGTGCCTAAGACCTGCCCTGCCCAGAATCTACCGTGGGTGAAACAAGGGAGGAAGAGGACAATTACAGAGGTTCTGTGAGGTGAATCAGAGCCACTGCCAGAGCTGCCTTTCTTTGTTCTCTGGGCCAGGGAGGTGCCGAAGCGGAGGGTCTCGTAGACAGGGTCCACCTTATTGCCACAGGCTGCAACAGAAAAAAAAGCTCATCTGAGAGAGAGGTTTCCTCAACTCCTGTCAGGAATGCAGCCAACCACCCAACACAGCTTCTAGTTGACAAGCCCCAAGAAACAGGTTCTGCACAGCAGTCCCGTGATCCCCAGGGAAATGGAGCTTTTTGTGGTCACACTTTTCTCCCAGATGTGTCCCCTATGACATGCTCCCATTTACCAGGTACACCCAAGGCCCCCAGCACTTAAACCAGAACTTATTGCTCCCAAATGCTTCCTGATTAATTCGTTTTCCTCTCTTGTCAATCAGCCTGGGAATGCAAGACCAAGGTTCTTTCCCAGACCAGCTTTCCTTCCCCCAGTACGAGGCTGAGTACCTGCTTGCTAAGGTATCCCTGCTGGAGGCAAAGCATTTGCAGTAGGATTCAGTGTTTTTGAAAAAAAATCTGACATTATCAGGCCTCATGAACTTCCAATGGAAAGCTTTCTGGTTTATAAATTTCTAGTTTAAAACTGCCCTCCCCAAAAGCAAAAAACAGATGTACAAATTTTCAGAGAGAGAGAGAAAAAAAAATAGAAGATATTGTCAAAGAAGAAATTCAAGTCAGAAATATCTATCAGGTAGTATTTTTTTGGTCCTCTTTAAAGAATAACTGATATTCACAGAGTTCCTGTCAAATACTGGTCTATAATTCATATTGACTTCTGACAACAATTATGAAAAGCAGCCACTGCTGTTCTCATTTTATAGGATCTGACAGGTCAAGTAACACATTCAGACACACAGTAGGTAGATGGGAAAGCTGGGCTTTGAGCCAGAACTGTAGAATGTTGTATTGCAAGCTCTTTCCAATCTACCAAGCAGCTCATGGGTGGCTGGATATCAGCAGCCTTTGGAAGTTGGTGTTTTTCAAGCTTCATCAGTGAGAGGATGAAAAAATTCCTGGAGAATTTGATCTAGCTTATATTTCCCTTCCAGTAAAATAGACAAATAATCATAATCAAGCAGCTACCACACAGATGCTTAAATGCACCCTACTGGTTTTGCAACCCTGGGTAAACAGTCACCATTAATGCTGACATTGTTGCTCAAAATCCTTCTCAACCCATCAATGTCCCTACTCACCAATGGGCATAACTTCTTTAATGCATCCAAACTGTTCATGAATTAGCAAGGGGGAGCTGTAGTAACGCCGAAACCCTTTTGGCTGGAAAGAGAATAAGAAAAGAGCTTAATGTCACTGATGTGATGGAAAGAACCACAGAAGAGCTCTGAAAATGAAACCCACTGCTTTCTCCAGAGACACTTCCTTGTCTCTTTTTTAATATGCTAACATGTCCCATAATTTAGCCCTGTGGCCCTACCCTTTTCTGTCCTGCTTCTCCTTCTGCAGACCGCAGTGATCTTCATTACCTCCCAGGACTATCTCCCAGAACTGGCATACATTATTTTATCAGTTTAATATTGTGGCTTATTAAAATCATGACAGGTCTGGCCAAGGGAAAAGAGACCTCAGAGGCAGGCCTAAAGATTCTTGTATTTCTGATGAGCTCTATTCCAGAATCCTTTGCTTTGTGTTCTAGTATCTGCTCTGTTTTTCTGACCTCTCACTCATGGTCTTTGCTCTGGCTTGTGGTAGTCAGCCTTGGTGCAGAACAGGTAAGTCAGAGGTTTGAGAGAATGGGACATTGTTAATCAGAGCAAGGACATGAATTCTCTAAGAAACTCCACTTACATTTATCCCAGTATTGGAAGGGAAAAGGGAACTTAATGGCCTGGCCCCTACTAGAATTCCAGAATCCATGCCAGCATTCCCAGCAGATGCTATCATCCCTTGAACACTGATAGTGATGCGGGGTGGGAGGAGGAACTCTCCCTAATCCTGGAGGCAGGTCTTTGGCTACATTATCTCTGTTAGGTTTGTGCCTAATGAAGACCTACTGATCCTGGGTCTTGTGCCTAGAGCCACAGAGTGGATAGAACCCCTCTTTTATAGGACAGAGCTTAAGTTTTTTGAAGATAGCTGTCACGCCCTAAATATTTCTTCTTTTAAACTTTTATTATGTGTTAATCTTTTCTTTTTTTTTTTAAAGATTATTTATTCATACAAGCACTGGGTACAGTCAGAAGCGTGGGAGGGTGAGAGAATTCACCAGAGCCAGAGCGGAGAGCAGAACAGGCAGAGTGACGAAGTACACTGCTGAGGGGAGCAGCGGTTGGCAGGAGAGGTCTGCGCGCCATGTGAGACCTTCGCCCAGTGGCTGGGGATCGAACTGGCGCTGCTGAGGCTGCGCGCAGCTTCGCAGCCCAGCACTCAACCACTTTGCCACCAGGGGAGTCCCCTAAATATTTCTATGGTAGAATTCTTGGTTCCTGACCAAACTACAAATCTTTTGCTGTCCTGGTTTCACCTGTCCTCAAAAGTGCTCTGGGTTGCTTTTCATCAAGGTATGATACCAATAATGAAGCTCACACTCTTGAGATGGTATGATCAGCACAGAAGGGTCAAGGGCCACCCTATGTTTCTTGCCTTGACCACCATGATCTGTTAAAGTGGTGTAGATTTTTATTATTTCCTTCACTTTTGGGAAAGTGGTTAATCTCTCTGCCATTATTGCTACCTGCTGAAACTGCCAACCAATTAAGCATTAGGGTGACCAACCACTCTTATTTTTCTGGGGCTGAGGGGTTTCTGGGATGGACAGTGGCCTTCCACTGTGAAACTGAGAAAGCTGAACCCAGGAGAAAATGGTCATCCTAATAAAGTCACTGAATGATTTTCATATGTGGGACATTCATCTCTTAGATTGACAAAGCTTCTCCTCTGCTCCATCATATTATTATTGATGAGAAAGTCAAGTTTACTGGCCAGGGATTCCAGGACTACCTTCCTGGAGTCCAGTTCTCAGGATGCTGTAAGGAGGGAGAGTTGATGGAGTTATTGCATCTGAGCTAAGCAAATGTCCTGTGCAGGGGCTCTGGGACCTCTCCTGGTATCAGTCCTTACCAGTTTGCCCATGCACCGCTGGGGTGCCAGGCCATCCATGCACTTGTGGTGGATGCTCATCTTACAGGCTTTGCAGCGCAGTCCATGCTTAGCAGTTGTTCCTGACAGACACAGAGTAAGTTTTGGTTAAAATAAAACCTATTACTTTCTAGTGACCAGTATGAAATCACTGAAGATGTAATTGCTTCCATAACTTGGGTAATTTTTTTCTATGATTAAAAAAATATTTATTTTATTTATTTATGCATGCAAAATTTGGAGTGTATGCCAGAGGTGTGGGGGGTGAGAGGATTCACCAGAGACAGAGTGGGGAGCAGAACAGGTGGATCTACTGAAATACACTGCTGAGGGGAGCAGCAGGTGAGACAGGAGAGGTCTGCTGTGTCATATGGGTCAGCTCCCTGCTGGGGATCGAACTCATGCTGCAGTGGCTGGAGATGGCTTGATAACACTGAGATTTAACCCCTGTGCCACCAGGGAGGCCCCTGCATGATATTTTCAAAATGTACAAAATGTTATGGTAGATTCCCTCACATATTCCCATTATTTTCTACCTAAGATATGAGCTCTGGTTTCCCTCAGTCTTATTCATTACTCCAAGAATAACCTCAACCTTCTTTCCTTTCTTTGTTTTCTCAATTCAAGGCAGTAAATTCTTTTTCTTTGTTCTTTATTTCCTGCATGTGCTTCTGTATATCTGCCTGTGATGTCTTACTGAGTACAAGTCCTGGATTTTGCCCATTGTTACCTGACTTGTAATCACAGTCTGAACTGTTGGAAAAACTCTCAGGGGAGTGACCAATAAAGGAGGGACATCACAGTCTGTGTGTGAGTAGGGAGGATGATGGGTAAAAGTCAGAGGCGGTCTTACCTAGTTTCACTCTTTCAACTGCTTTACCCAATCATTTTTTTTCTTCTTCATTATTTGGATTGTTCAACTTACATGAAGATGCAGTTGGAGATAATTAAATGATGAAAAGTAGGAGTACAAGAATCTGACATTCAGTTGGAGAAAGCAATAGCTAAACTTTTGACTGGTCAAAGACCTGAAAACCTTTCAGGAGGTATTACTTAAAAATCTCCTCCAAGAAGGCATTATTTAACACAAAGTATGTTTGCTGTTATAACTACAGAAAGTCAAAGTGACATATAAACACACCATAAATTATTGGCTATGTGTGCTGGATCATAAATGCTAGTTAGAAAGTCTATTTCTTTTGGAAAATAACCACTTAGCTGAAAGACTACAATGCTTTCAAAAGACTGGAGCTTGAAAGCAATCACTTATTTTTCATTTTCAAATTAGAGTATGCTCTTTGTACCCTCAGTGAGAACGTAAGCAAAGCTTCAAAGAAGAAAGCTATTTCATTGTGTACTGGACTCTAAAATAGCAGCATTAGATTTTAAGGTATGTTTTCCTTCAGACCCGAATACCATAACTTTGATTTTTCCTTGTCTTTTCTAATATACTTTGCTATATTGTATGAGTCAGACCACCAGCAATTATTTGGTTTTAGGTGTTCCAATTTCTGCTGTGGAATAACAAAAGTGATTGAAGAGGAAAACTTATATTCTAAGGCTTAGAGAATAGCTCAAAGGAATAATTCACATCACAGTAGTGGCATTAGTTTACTGTAGCATGGTATGTAGATGCTATGGCCCCACTTGTTATACTACTAGTAACCTCTATCACAAAGGCATTAATGAATATAATTTTATGTCTCAGTAGAATGGAAAAGCATGGTTTGAAATTCAATTTGGTCAAATGCTGGCTGTTTAAACAAGAAAATTACTAACATTGCTAGGAATCTCAGTTGTTTCATCATCTTTTGGAATAGTTTTACCTACTCTGCAATAATAATAATGTCATAATGTGCAAAAACGCTTTCATGTATTTTCATTTTTAAAAAATTTAATATGTATTTTACATCATTCTTCCTTTTTGTACAATGCATGCTTTCTCCTCTCAGGTGTAGTCCCCATAAAATTCCCACCACCAATTCACCTGTGCACCATCACCATGGTCCCTTTTGTAAGAACACATTCCCTTCTTGTTTTAATCGCTCTTACCCCCCCTGCAGTGTCTCTGATTAATAGTTGTCTATTAATTTTGTTTTTTAATTTATTATAATTATTTTCTTCCCGGTGCCTTATTTGGTTTCTCTGCATTCCTCCTATAAGTGAAACCATCTGATATTTTTCATTTTCCATCTGGCTTATTTTACTGAGCATAATCCCTTCCAGCTCCACCCATGTTGCTGCGAATAGCATGAGTTTATCTTTTTTTGATTGCTGAATAGTATTCCATTGTGTATATATCCCACATCTTCTTAATCCAGTCATCTATTTTTAGGTAGTTGGGTTGTTTCCACATCTTATCCATTGTAAACAGTGCTGCAATAAGCATAGGGGTGCAGATATCCTTTTGAATTAATGTTTTTGTGTCCTTTGGGTAGATTCCCAGGAGTGGAATTGCTGGGTCATATGGAAGCTCCATTTTTAGTAGCTTGGGAACCTCCACACAGCTTTCCATAGTGGTTGAGCCAGTTTTGTGTTTGCATTCTTGGAAACATAAAGATGTTTCAGAGAATTTGAGTAAATACGGCTAGTCTCCCACTTAATCCCAAAGCCCAACTAAAATTATAGTCTAAGAATGAAAAAATATATAAACCCCAAATAAGAAGGTCACTGGGAGGATCAAGAAGGGATACACTAATATTCTTTTTGAAGATAGAAAATCACTACAGGTATTGTAAGAAATTTAATAAAGATTGATTTCCCAATATCATTTTGGAAACTAAAAGGCTAGAGCATTTCAAAAACTGTTATATTTCAAAATTCTGACAGAAAATAATTTCCAACCCAGAATTTTATATCCAGCCAAATTAATACAAGTATTAATAAACACATTACTACAAGTATTTATAAACACATATTCATAAACACATATTCATATTTTCAAGGTTTTACAATGATTACTTTCCATATACCCTTAGAAATCTCCTGAAGAATGTATGTTTGAAAGATAAGGAAATAAATCAAGAAAGAGAAATTAGTAGATCCAATGTATAACAGGACAACACAGAGGAAAAGTAAATGATTGCACATATCACAAGTCTGCAATAGTCCCAGACTGGAGCTATAAGATAAAGTAAGGCAAAAAAAAAAAAAAAAAAAAAAAGTAAGGCAGTAGACTTGTAAAGAAAATAAACCTTAAAAGTTCAGTGGTGCTTTTGAGGTTTGGATATTAAAATAGATATGACATTTGACAGATATATGGGAGAGTATGAAAAAGTAACGATAGGTACATTAAAAAGTTAAGAAAGTGAAAAAAAGGCAGTTTCTAATTTGAGAAAATAAAAAATTTGTATAAGGAAAGAAATGTAATGATAACACAATACTTGAGTTAGAAGTTAGCATTAGTCAAACTTGTCTATAAATTGGTCATCTAGTGAACACAATTTATAACTACTTGAGAAAACAAGGGGAAGGGAGTAAATATAATTATAGAACTCTCTGAGGAAGGTGAGGGCAAGGAAGAAGGGAACAGGGAGGGGGTGCTAGAGGAGTTAGAGCTGAATCCTCATTTCCTATAGCAGGAAGCCAATAGATGTTTGGTTGCTCAAATTGTGGCAGAAGCACAGAATTTAGAAATATTGAAATAAATGTCTGAAGAAACAAGATAAAGGTGGTTGCATTTCAGAAGTGAGTCTGGGGTACAGGATGAGATAGATTTCATTGTATTATTTTCAATGCTATCAGTACCATCTTCAAACTGTTCTCAATTCTACTGTGATGAAAACAAATTAAAAAAGGAAGTTAGAAACTGCATTAAGTTAGCTCCTTGGAATGATGTGTTCCTTGATGTATGAAGATATTGGGAAAACATGGGGTCAACTCATCACATAAGCCTTCCATTCATGCCTGGGATTTGAAATTCTGGGATAAATCTAGGATAGTTTTATTAGTTACAGGTGAAAATTATTAGGATATTATGATATTTAAATGAAGTTTGGAATGGATCATTACAAGCCCACATAACACTGTTTAACTGTCTTACAGTGGACTATTTTATATACATGATATATATATATATCATTTACCACTATGGATAGGTGAACCATCTATAGAAAACCAAGTATTGAAACCCCAGTGAATGAGGAAGTCTGTATTGATGTTGAGAGAATATATTAAAAGGTTTTTCTCTGTCTAGGTAGCCAAATCAACTACATTGGGTGACAGGCTCCTTTTTTATTTTAAAATGAATTTGATATCATATATCCACAAAATAACAAACCAGACTCATTTTGATAGGATTTTGCCATCATGACATTGCTTATCCAAATTCATGTAATATCAAAGTTAAAAATAAGACAGAATAAAGCAATGGTTTACAATTGAGGTCAGTTACCTATAGAAATAACATGGAGAGTGAGTAAAAATATACTTGTATAAGACAAAATCTACAATCATAATATTTAAACCAGCAATGAACAATGATTTATAATTGTTACTAATAATTAGTTTGCTTCCAGATTTGTACAACCATAGAATTATTTACAATTTATTTTGATTAACATTAACATAAATTAGATGCTAAAAGACTGCTTACTATGACTTGTGCAAAAACTTAAAAAATTCTAGAACTGTAAGTATTTCTTGGAACACATATAAGATCTATAAATGATTCAAAGGTAAATACAGGTAAGAGACTCAAAGACTTTTCAGACTATTTTTATTGGTTTAGCTACTAGACTGGCCTCAACCTCCACCTGAACAGGTCATGTCTGCATCAAAAAGAGAGAGAGCCTAGAGAGGGTGAAAAGCCCTTGTCACAGAAAGGACTCAAAACCAGAAAGATGAAAGCAAAGCAAAGGGAATTTTTCAATGTCTGGGCAGACCACAATCATTTAGGGGCTAGAAACTATGCAATCTAAGTTAAAATATGTAATCTGTAAGGATTACAGAGTTTTAAACTAAAGGCTGTAACAAAACCTCTGCTGGATAATAAACTCAGGCATTATAATGCAGCCAGCATTATTCATGAGCCCTTTACCCTTGGATATACACCAACATAATGAATAAAGCAGAATTACGTGGG